CGGTGTTAAAAGATCAGGTATCCGGGCCTAGCTGGATGGGTCCAAGCAGGAGCCCTTTGGCCAAAGGAAGCAGGTTCTAGGCAGGCTGGAGAAGTCAGTGCTGAGATGTGGCACCGCTTGTTAGTCAACAGACAACAATTGGGCCTGCAGAAAGGAGGAAGGTGGTCCTTTTGTGGGTCCCATCTCCCCATTCATTCATTCAGCAAAGGTGTGCCAGGCACCTGCTGTGGCAAAGGACAGGGAGGGCAATGGAGAATCCAGGAGCCTCTCACTTAGCATATTGCAAAGGGAACACGTGTTTGGTATCTGGCAGCATTTCACCTCCTTGCTGGGAGATAAGAAACACCTGGGGTGAGGATTCCCAATCCACACAGGCCTTTGGAATCAGAACTGCCAGGGGAAGAGTTTGGAGTCTGCATATGTATATAGCGGGTGTCCCCCCAAAATGTATACACACTTTGAATAATTATTAATTCCAATGGGTTAAATTTGAAAGAAATATCAATTGAGCTGTCAGGTTTTAGTAGTGTATACATTTTTGGGGGAGCACCCTGTATTTGTACTGTGGTAAAGTAGACCTAACATCAAGAGTTCTGAAATTGTTGGTTCTAATCACCCCCCCCACACACACACATACCACCAGTTCACTGGTTGTTTTGGCTAAAGGACTGAGCCCTAGAGTTTCCCACTCTGCTATTCTGCATGAAATCACTCCTCTGGAGTCTATTTTATTTTTTAAATAAAAATTGTATACATTTGAGGTCTCCAACATGATAATTTGGTATACATGTAGAAGGTGAAATGATTACTACAGTCAAGCTAAGTAACATTTCTCCTCACACAGTTACTTCTTTTGTGAGAAGAGCACCTGAAATAAATCTAGAGATCTAATAAACAGCATGACTGTAATTAACAATACTGTACTGAATACAGGCATCTCTCTCTATTTTTTCAACCTTGGGCCTCCAGTGTTCTTATTTTCGGGTAGGGCTGGCGTCACAGGCTTCAAGGAAGGGGTAACAGGGAGATCGGTCCTAATCTCAGATGAAACCACCCGGCTGATAAATGCATTCAGCCAAGCGACCAGCACTTACTGGGCTGATGAAGGGACCGTTCTGTGTTCTCTGGATATAGAAGTTGACAAGACAGACTCGGTCCCCGTCCTCCAAAACTGGGACGCCAAAATTCTGGGGGACAAATAACTCTGTCAAACAGTTTCTTACTATATATAAAACAGGAGAGTTTGAACTAGACTGCTTACAGGCAGGTCCAGCTCCAAAATACATGATTCTAGGAAAGGAAGTCAGTCCGATTCTGGAGGCACGAGGCCAGCAAACGTGCGGTCCCCCAGAGGCTAAAAGGGGGCCCCTTTGTAAAGGAAGAGGGCGCACAGGTAACAGGTGGGTGGGGAGTGAGTACCTTTGGAAACCACAGAGTGTGGTCACCTGTGCCCAGGAGCAGACTGTGGAGACTATAGGCAAGGAACTTTTCCAATTCATGGAGAAAGAGGAGATTCAAAAGACTTCAAGCTGGAAATTAAGTGTGCCGACACTCACATGATGGGGTGATCCGGGACGAAGGCCGCCTCGGGCTGGGCTGGGTGGCAGGGCCCCAGTGATGCTTCCAAGGCCCCCCTCTCTCTGCATTCCTCGGCTCTTCTGTGCTTAACTCACGGCTGCAGCCGGGGGCCCAAACAGGATGATCAGAGCACGGCCTCCGCTTTGGGGTAGGAGAGTCCACCGCGGCCCCCCCGAAGCCCGCTCGCCCGCCCGACAAAGCGTCCGCCGCCGCCAGAGCTGCTCCAAACCACGCGAGAAAAGCTGCGAGGAGGGCGCTGATTGGCCCACCTTGTCCCAGGGCCTGCGGTCAAAGGTTACGGGCAGGCCTCTGATTGGCCAGGCCTTGCCACGTGCGGTGGGCTCGGGGCGAGGGCTGGGAATGGGTTTCTCCCGTCAGGAAGGGGAGTGGGGTGTCATCGCCTAAAGCGAGGGGTGCTGGCGAACGGTGACAGTTTTAGTTAGACCCTACCTGCTGGTGTTGGCCGCCAAGGCCAGCTAACGGGGGGCCGCTGGCCCCGGGGAGCGCTGCTGGCCCGGAGCTGAGAGGAGGCCTCTGCGCTCGGCTCCTTGCACCCTGTGTGCCGGGCCCCTTGAGCTGCTGGGGTGTGGACAGGAACAGAAGGTAGGAGGGGACGCCCCAGCAATTGCTAGTAAACTTATGAACTCCACGACAAAGTAATACTGACTTTCTCGTAATCACCATGTTGGGTGATTGAGGAAAATAAAACCGTTTCTTGGAAAGAATCCCTAGGCCTATGCTGCAGGCTTGAGAAATCCTGTAGCCGAGGTCATGTGATGCCAGCGCTGGTCATTTAGCCTCCAGGAGCGGGTGCTCTTCCTAACCTAGCACCTTCTGCCAGAACACCCAGGACCAGAATGCCACGAAGGAAATCAGATGTTTCAACAGGACTGCTGGGTTCTCTCTCCCCCCACCGCACCCCCTCTCTCTGACTTGAGTAGTTTTTGCATTACCTTTGGGTTCCACTACAGGGCTTTGTCCAATGGGAGCCCCCAACAGGTTAATGGATAATTGCCCACCTACTCCTTGGAAGTGCCACCTTGGGGTGGCTTATGCCCAGGTGTCCAGGAATGCCCCCATGTGCACAAGCTTGAGCACTGTTCCCTAGCTTTATGCATTTTGGGGAGTCAATCCAAGGCTGAGGGAAGGGGAGGGCAGCTGGGAACCCTAGAACTAATGGAATTCATTAGCTGCAGTATCTCCTGACCTTAGAGAGGAAAGGAGTTGCCTTTCAGATAATAGACTGAGTTCTTTAAAGTAGTCAGTTTGCAGCTGAGATTTGTTGGGAGCACAAATAACTTTCCACTCTGCCCACATTCTTTCTCTGAATATCTTACAGCATTTAATAGCGCCCACATAGCATATGCTGGAGGACCTCATTTATTTACTGGACCTTATCTAGTCTTGACTTAGTTTACAAACAATTGTAAGTAGGTTGGCTGTTTTCCTGTCTTCAACAGATTAGAAACAGTAAACTATGTGCCAAAAGGGGGAAAATAGCATTCATTCAAGAAATAGTTATTGAACTCCTCTTTTGTGCTAGGCATTAGGGTTACAGTAGTAAGCAAGACAAAGTTCCTGCCCTCATGGAACTTACAAGCTTTAGACAAATAATTACAAACTATTATAATTGTGATGAAGACTATAGAAGATAAGCAGGGCACTATAAGAGCTTGTAGCAGGACCAAACCTAACTTGCTGGGATCATGGAAGGCCTCTGGAAGAAGAGACTTAAACTGAAGTATGAAATAAACATGCAGTCAAAAAAAGGAGTGGGGGTGTGAGGAACTTGGAACTCACAAGCCTACAAGAAACCAGTGCAGTGAGGGCAGAGAAGTATGGTGTGAGATGAGCTTGTAGCGGTAGGCAGGAGGCCTCTTGGGTCACATTAAGGATTTCCACCCTGAACCATGGAGAGTTTTGAGCAGGGAAGTGACAGATTTACATCTTTATAGTGTTACTCTGCCTGGCATGTGGAGAATGGATTGAAGGGAGGCAGGCGTGGATGTAGGTGGAAGAGAAAAGAAGTTATTATTGGAGTCTAGGGGGGAGAGGTAACACCTGTACACTGGGCAGTTTTGAGCATGAGCAGAAGATAGAACCAATGTGCTTCAAGGTGGGTTAGATGTGCCAAGCTGAGGGGAGGCAAGGATCAAAGACTATCCCTGATTTCTGTCATGAGAACTTAAACAGATAATGATGACATTTACTAGGGAAAGAAAGCCTGTAAGAATTTGGTGGGATAGTGAATTCCATTTTGGATGTTGACCGAAGGGTACATATGAAATATCCAGGCGAAGATGCAGAGGTAGTTGGATAGATGGGACTGGAACTCAGAAGAATGGTCTGGGCTGGAACTATAAATTTAGTACTTTATATTTGGAATAGAGATGGAATTTAAAGCCAGGGGTTTGGACAAGATCACTTAGGGAAAAAATATTGTATTAGAAGACCTAGCTCTGAGCACTGAAGAAATCTACCATTTTAAATGGGAGTGGAGGAGATATGAAAACTGATGAGATGCAGTTTGTAGTAGCTGACTCCAATGATCCCCACCTCCTGGTATTCATGTCCTTGTGTGGTCTCCTCCCACATGGAGTAGAGCTAACTTAACCTAGGTAGCTAATGTATTGTAGAAATGACGGTGTATGACCACGGTTGTGGGTATAAAACCTTTTAAGACCTCAGAGAGACCTATGGTGGTACCTCAGAAAGCTGTTCTGACAGTAAGAATCTTAAGGGTATTGCCCCTCAGGGGTCTGAGCAGAAGCCCAAGGCAGAGAAGGACTTATCTCAAAGAAATTTGTGAGTGTAGCTTTTTTCTAATGGAGTCAACTGCAAATAAGACTCATAGGGGAAACATAAGGTGTTGAAAATAATTATATTCACAGTAACACTACCAGCTTGAATTGAGATATAGCACAAAATCTAAGGAGGCTTTTGGATTCTACTGGGTGGAAGCAGAATGAGAAACTGTAGCTGTAAATATGGGCTACCTTTCACAGAAAAGGATGACTCAGAGGGTGGAGCCAGAGCCCAGACTCCAAGGTGGCCCCCATATTCCCCATCTCCTGCTAGTCACACCACTGGGTCATTCCCTCTCACACGGACTAGTGTTGACCTGTGAAACCAGTATACTGTGGAGTGACGGTGTATGATAAGCGAGAGTTACCTAGCATGCCCAAGTACCCAACCCACAGAAACTAGGAGGCATTGCTTGTTGCTTTAAGATGATATGTCTTGGGATAATTTATTACGTAGCAATAGATAATACCAGGAGGAAGACCAGAAGAGTGAGTTCATGGAAAGTAAGTGAACTATGTTTCAAGGAAAGAGTAGACAACTAGGTCAAATATGAAATGGCGAAATGTTTCATACCTGGATGAAAATAAAGCCCACATATCAATCTTGAATTTCATTTAGATTTATTGAGTGTGGAAAAAAACAACAAGCGAAACCCCACTATGCTCTTGGCCTGAGAAAACTGAGAAGTATCTATCAGTCTTTTGAAGGACTTCATTAAATACGTTTTGAAAATTTGTGATATCTCTCAATGGCAATGAATAAATGTTTTACTGTACTTATCTGGTCTATCAGTGACCTTCTCGTAAGGACACACCATGTCATTACTAAACTGTAAGAAGACTGTGAAGAGCAGAGAAACCTGCCTCAAAGCACCTAGAGTGTTAGATATGCTGTAGGTGCTCATACAAGCTACCCTGTGACTAAAAAGCAAAAGTATCTTATAAGACTCCAAAAATATTTTACCAACAACAATCGCTACCACATTTATGTTGCAATTTATAGATTAAAAGTATTTTCACCACATCTTATTTTATGCCCACAACAAACCCTGTGAGGTGGATAGCTAGGTTTATAGAAAGATGGTTATAAACTTGATTATACAATGATTGTACAATCATTCCCACTTCCCAAAAGAGGGAGCTAAGGCATAAGAGGCTTCAGTTACTTGGTTAAGGCTATACAAAATATTCATGACTGCAGGTCTTCTGGTAGGAAGCTGAGCACTTTATCCAAAATATCGAGGCAGCATTCACCAGGGATGGTTCATCTAGCATCCTCCTTCTACAAATACTCTCAGGACAACTCTAACATTACTTTCCACAGCAATCTATAATGTCTTATATTTTAATACTCTCTTTTCTGTAGCTGGAATCATGGAATGGGTAAAGATTCTCTCTTTTCTTTCCACTTTGGTTCCTATGTAACGGTCCAACTCGAGTATCTTCCCAGGCAGTCCCCGTGGGCAGCTAGACAATGCTGTCATTGTTCAAACCATTCCTCATTGGAAATTGCCTTCAGAGAACCAAAATTCTTCACAGTAAGAGAATTTCACAGTCTATTAGTTTATAGTTATGCTTTGCTTTTTAATTACAAATGGCATCATTAGTTTGGTTATCTTCCTTAATCATCAGATTTTTAGCTGTTTCCTAAACTTCAACCTATCCTCAGAGACCAAACATTTACAAACATTGAGTATATTCAAACACATTTGTTACAGACTCTGAGGACATTCCATAGGCATTCCAGAAAAGTTAGTAGCAATAGCACCCTTTGAACAGAATACCCTCAGAAAACCCTCATAAGGAATGTATAGCAACAACATTAAAAGTAATGGCTTAAGTATGTTGAGTGGAACTTTATATGCAGATTCAAAAGAATCTTATGAGGTCAGATAAAAGTCTATTTGTTTAAACATCAAACATTAGCAGGTGGTCACACAGGGGTAATGCACTTATATCACAAAGGGCAAACACTAATTCCCAAAACACATGCTGTGAATAGCCAATGCCTCCCCTACAACAGCCATCATCTCCCCAGAGCGTTGGTCTGTAGGGATCTGGCCCAATTTGGTGTTTTTCACACATTTTCAAGCCTGTTAGAGGTTTGTCATTCCTGTGTCAGTGTGCATTTTAGTCCCTTTAAAGTAGAATCAGAGTGTATGGAACAAAAATAAGTACGTTTTTGGCTTCTGACAAATTGGGGTAAGGCATTTCCAAACTAAGTTTAGCTTCATGGCTCCAAAATGACTACTACTGAGTCCATTTAAAGAGGGAGAACACACACACGCAAAATTTTCAAATTTATCTGCTTTTATCTCCCATCACAGTTAGTACAAGGAATAAGAAATGAAGATTTAATTCGAGAATCTATTCTTAAATAGCAATTTGAAGAGCCAAAATTTGGCACCAGATATCTGTACCTATCTATCTATATTTTAAAAGTCCCCTTTCTTGAAAACCATCTCAGCAAGTATGGTCAGCTCCTTATTTTTAACTCCTTCATAGTGACAAAATCACAGAAGACAGCCATGTGGAAACTGCTATGACCAAGAGTAAGACCAACAGCCTGACCCAAATAAGACCCTCAGAGTCACGACTCCCAGGACTTCTGCCATGACCACGGGCTTTAAACCATTCTACTACCTCCTGGAAGTCAAATGGCTGAGGCTCATAACCTAGCTCCTTCTTGGCCTTCTCTAGGCTAACGTAATGTGTGATGCCAGTTTTGTAAACTTCTGTGCGGGTGAGGAAGGGCTGGAAGTTGTAGAGCTGACCCAAAATGAAGTAGGCCATCTCTGTTAGGAAAGCAAAACAGTAGATGAGGGTCAGGGGCAGGCGAATGGATGGGAATGAGTAGCCCAGGCCCTCAACCAAAGGCCGAAAGAACTCAAAGCTGTTCACGGGCTGGCCATCTGAGATGAAGTAGGGCTGCCCGGAGGCGATGTAGCCCTTGTCAGCTTTCAGGGCCTCTAAGGCCAGAATGTGAGCCTGCACCAAGTTATCCACATGGACAAATTCAACCAGGCTCTTGGGATCCCCGTACACAAACTTGAACAGGCCCCTCTCAATGTAGCTCACTATTCTGGGAAGGTGCCTTTGTTCTCCAGGCCCATAGATGCCAGCTGGCCTCAGAGCACAAGTTCTTAAGACATTATTGCTTCTTTCCAGGAATGTACCATTGGCTTCTAGCACCTTCTTCTCTGCAATAGATTTGGTCCGAGAATAGTGATCAGGATGGAGGTGAAGAGGTAGGTAAGGCAGAGATTCATCTCCATTTCTGATAACTTGACCTCCAAACACGACATTGAAAGTGCTAGTGTAAACTAATCTTGGCACCCCTCTCTTCTGGCAAACCTGGAGGATGTTATCTGTGCCGCCCACATTGACTTCTTGGATCAGTTTTCGATTCAGCTGCTCCCGCCCTGACATACCATACGAGGCGATATGGAACACACAAGTGATGTCCACATCCTGGAAGGCTTTCTCTATATCAGAGACGTGGCGAATGTCTCCACGTATAAACTTGATTCCTTCTGGAATGGTTTGAGCAGGGCTGCTGATGTCTAACAGAATCACATGGACTCCCTTCTGGTTCAGAGCACAGCCTAGGCTGGAATAAAAAAGAGTAAAAATTGGATCAAGTCACTATTAAGCTATGCCTAGGAAAAGTGTGTAAAATAATTTACCAAGTTTTCTTGGCCTCTCCTGAATCCCTCACTTTACATGTTCCCTGGGGTAAGTCTTATGCAAATATTCAAAAATGAGAAGACTCATATCTACTTAAATTACAATGAGATGGTGGCATCTACATGTTACATTTTTTCCCCTGTGTTCTAGGACCCACCATCCATTCTTGGGAATATTTATGAATAACTAAAAGAATTGCTATTATTTAAAATTGTTTTTGGTGATGTGAATATCTCCCCTCCACAATTTAATGGCTTTATAAAGAATTTTTCTTAGCATGGAATATATCTGTAGCTCTCAATTTCAGCATCTGGGCAAAATAGTTCATTCCTGGATTAACACTATACAAACAAGTAAAAGTATACACTGTATTAATGTCAGAGTTGAAAGCTATACTTTTTTTCAGCAACTACCAGTAAAATAATTCATGGATATATTTTACAAATGCACTGACCGGAAACCAAAATAGCCACTTCCTCCTGTAATGAGGACAGTTTCCTCCGGAGATTTTTGGGAGTCCATCGGTGGCAGTCAAAAGAAAACTGGACCTATAAGAAAGAAGTATGCAACACTGTTACTGATCCAAATGCAAATATGTTTGTCCCTAATTTGGGGTTAACAAAAACAAAAAGGCAGTATGCTGTAGTAGAAAGAAAAGCTAAGACCTAGGTTTTAGTTATGGCTGTGTGAAGTTAGCCAACTCCTCCTCCCCTTTCACTTCTTGGGTTTCAAATTTCTTCCTATGTAATAGGAGGACAGAAATATCTACCCTGCCTGCCCCACAAGGTCAATGTGAAGGTTCAATAAGATAACTACCTGGGAGTGCTTTGGAAACCACAAAGCATTCTCCAAATGAAAGACATTATTCTTAATCATTGGAAAAATTAGAGCCTTTTTGAAAAGAATTCATTCAGCCCCACTGGTGTGGCTCAGCGGTTGAGCGTCAGCCTACGAACAAGAAGGCCACAATTCGATTCCCGGTCAGGGCACATGCCCAGGCTGTGGGCTCGATCCCCAGTAGGGGGCATGCAGAAGGCAGCTGATCAATGACTCTCTCATCATTGATGTTTCTCTCTTTCCCTCTCCCTCTCTCTGAAATCAATAAAAACGTATTAAAAAACGAAAAAAGGAAAGAATCCATTCAAATTTGGTAGGGAGAACCATTTTCTCCCATGTACCAGAAAAATAAAAAACAGAACTCTAAAGCCAATTTCCAACATCTTTTAAATTTAAAACAGCACATATGCAGCATGGTTTAATACTGGCGTTTTATTAACCCTATATATTTTTTTAAAATAGGGAGCAAAAATTTCCTTCATATAGCAAACCACATTCCCCACCCCCAGGGTATCATGTAAGTACTGCATGTGCTCAAGGCCTATGAGGGTCTCACTTCTCCTTCCCTCCCCGCCTGTGCCAAAATAATAATAACTGTATAAGTTATAGCTTATTAAAAATATCTATAATATTTTCTCAAGGCTCCAAGGCCCCATTCTGTCAAGAACAAGGCAGGACAAGCAAAGAGTGGGCCACTCAACTCTTCCCCCGTAGGAAGAAATGGAACAGGCAGGAGGCACGCGGGTCCTCAGATGCACTGGGGACATGCACACGCACGCACTCAAGTCATTAGACATCCATGTAACCAGGACCCAAGGTCTGCTGCCTGCTGCCACAAAAACCAAACTCGTTAGACGAGTGGAAAAAAGGAAAGGGGTTTTATTCAAGTACCAGTAACTTGAGGAAATGAAGGACTCTCGTCACAAAGTCCATCTCAACCCCTCAGTGCAGGCAGAGGTTTTTATGAGGGAGAGAGAAAGCAGGACAAAT